TGCTATCCTCTAATAGTTATGTTACTCTCACACACTTACCAATCCTCCACAGTTTATCAGAGTCACTATCCACTGGTAGTTCTGTTACTCCCACACAGGTACCAATCCTCCACAGTTTATAAGAGTCACTATCCACTGGTAACGCTCTTATCTCTCTCTCCACAGTATCTGGAACTACGATTCAGCAAGGGAGTAAGGACAGCAGGCTCCATGACATTCTCGGTACAGATGGTAAGTCCATAGATTCTGCAGGGGCTAAACTGTACTGGTCTTCGTACTGGTATAAAGTACAATCGGAACACAGGAGCTGATAGGTCGATCGAAACACATCCTCTACGTTTGGTCTCTTTGCCTTTGCTTTAATCCGTAAGAACGATAAGTGTGTCCCCTCGTATTTTTTCAATTCCATCCTTAGTATGTCGGACGGACGGTGTGTTTGTCCTTTCCTTACATTGACATTTACATTGCACCTGTGCAATTCGATAGTTTAGGCAGTGTTTTATGTAAGAAAGTAATAATGTCCTCTCTAAACGGAAGGAACATTTATCCCATTTGTACTTTATATCATAAAAGTATGACATCAAGGATTGTTTCGTTTGTATATTACAAATGAGGTTAGCTTAGTAATATAATTTGGTATTGTATGGGGGGAACTGTTGATATCTGATCTTGTTTGATTTCCATTGTACATTAATAGAAAAAGTAAAAACGTCAACGCAGAAAGTCAAATCCATCAACATTTTTATTACACCGTTCATTACGTTTCCAACTATTTATTGAACATTTAATGAAACTGGACTTTATCGATCGGCGACAGGTAGCTCTATTTGGAGGTACCTAGTTCGAATCCCGCTCGTTTATAGAGTTTTTATGTAGAATACATGTAGATGTAATATTCACATAAGATGTAAAGGAACCTCTCCAATAACAAGGTATATCTTTGTTTCCAGCTGCTGTACATGGCCCTCGTATTGTACGCTCCATCTCTAGCACTCAATGCCGGTAAGTAGGTTTTTCTGTTTTATATGCTCTCAATTGTTACAAAAACCATAACTTTAGAATAAAAAATAAAGCCATATCTGACTTACATGTCCATTATAATTCTATATTCTCCGGACGTGTACTGAAAAAAAATGATATAGAAAGAGAAGATACAGTTTAAGGAAGAAACAATGTTTCATTTTTACTTATCTCTTTATAAACATATGAACAATTGTTTTGTTACAAAGTCGCGATTGATAAAATAATAAATATCCTTGTATCATTTTGTTACAACGCACCGCCGTATTCTTGGGATATGGATATACAATATAGAAGATTTCTTGCATACCATATAAGTGAATATACTTAACATTTATGAAAGACATTGTAATTGTTGAAGTCTCGAAACATTTACAGTGACTGGATTTACTTTATGGGGCTCTGTGATAGCTGTTGGTGCCGTCTGTACACTCTACACCTGTCTGGTATGTGTGTTTAGTATGTATTGTCTAACAGTCAACTTAATTTGCCTGGTATGTTTACAGAACACTGTACACAGACCAAAGTATACCTGGTATAATGTTTCACACTCTACTACATGTCTCTGGTATACATTAGCACCTAAGGCTCATTGATGTCTCCTACAACAGAACAATCTACACAGAGTACAGTATACATGGTATAATGTTTCACACCCTACTACATGTCTCTGGTATACATTATAACCCAAGGCTCATAAATGTCTCCTACAAAAGAACACTTTACACAGAGTACAGTATACCTGGTATAATGTTTCACACTCTACTACATGTCTCTGGTATACATTATAACCCAAGGCTCATTGATGTCTCCTACAACAGAACACTCTACACAGAGTACAGTATACATGGTATAATGTTTCACACCCTACTACATGTCTCTGATATACATTATAACCCAAGGCTCATAAATGTCTCCTACAAAAGAACACTCTACACAGAGTACAGTATACCTTGTATAATGTTTCACACTCTACTACATGTCTCTGGTATACATTATAACCCAAGGCTCATTGATGTATCCTACAACAGAACACTCCACACAGAGTACAGTATACCTGGTATAATGTTTCACACTCTGCTACATGTCTCTGGTATACATTATAACCCAAGGCTCATAGATGTCTCCTACAACAGAACACTCCACACAGAGTACAGTTTCCCTGGTATAATGTTTCACATTCTACTACAATTCTCTGGTATACATTATAACCCAAGGCTCATAGATGTCTTCTGCAACAGAACACTCCACACAGAGTACAGTTTACCTGGTATAATGTTTCACACTCTACTACAAGTCTCTGGTATACATTATAACCCAAGGCTCATTGATGTATCCTACAACAGAACACTCCACACAGAGTACAGTTTACCTGGTACAATGTTTCACACTCTACTACATGTCTCTGGTATACGTTATAACCCAAGGCTCATTGATGTCTCCTACAACAGAACACTCTACACATAGTACAGTATACCTGGTATAATGTTTCACACTCTGCTACATGTCTCTGGTATACATTATAACCCAAAGCTCATTGATGTCTCCTACAACAGAACACTCCACAAAGAGTACAGTTTACCTGGTATAATGTTTCACACTCTACTACAAGTCTCTGGTATACATTATAACCCAAGGCTCATAGATGTCTTCTGCAACAGAACACTCCACACAGAGTACAGTTTACCTGGTATAATGTTTCACACTCTACTACAAGTCTCTGGTATACATTATAACCCAAGGCTCATTGATGTATCCTACAACAGAACACTCCACACAGAGTACAGTATACCTGGTATAATGTTTCGCACCCTACTACATGTCTCTGGTATACATTATACCCCAAGGCTCATTGATGTCTCCTACAACAGACCACTCTACACAGAGTACAGTATACATGGTATAATGTTTCACACTCTACTACATGTCTCTTGTATACATTATAACCCAAGGCTCATTGATGTATCCTACAACAGAACACTCCACACAGAGTACAGTTTCCCTGGTATAATGTTTCACATTCTACTACAATTCTCTGGTATACATTATAACCCAAGGCTCATAGATGTCTCCTACAACAGAACACTCTACACAGGATACAGTATACCTGGTACATGTATAATGTTTCACACCCTACTACATGTCTCTGGTATACATTATACCCCAAGGCTCATTGATGTCTCCTACAACAGAACACTCCACACAGAGTACAGTATACCTGGTATAATGTTTCGCACCCTACTACAAGTCTCTGGTATACATTATAACCCAAGGCTCATTGATGTATCCTACAACAGAACACTCCACACAGAGTACAGTTTCCCTGGTATAATGTTTCACATTCTACTACAATTCTCTGGTATACATTATAACCCAAGGCTCATAGATGTCTTCTACAACAGAACACTCCACACGGAGTACAGTATACCTGGTATAATGTTTCACACTCTGCTACATGTCTCTGGTATACATTATAACCCAAAGCTCATTGATGTCTCCTACAACAGAACACTCTACACAGGGTACAGTATACCTGGTACATGTATAATGTTTCACACCCTACTACATGTCTCTGGTATACATTATAACCCTAGGCTCATTGATGTCTCCTACAACCTCGTCATCACAAATTGTTGTTTTTAATTGTTTTCCATTATGAAAGATCGTTTTTTAGTTTACGATTTTCATAATCAGAACTAGTAGAATTCTAATGCTGACAATCCTATAAAATTCTCGAAAGTACGGTTCTGTATCCAACGTTAATTGTGTATCACATATACAGTAAATATTCATCATATATACAGTAAATAGTGAGTGTTTTTCTTTGTTTCTTCACCCTGATCTGTCTTCTCACGAATACTTCTATATTTCGTTCTTTTAATTTTCCTTTTTCTTAACTTTCTATTCAATTTTATAACATAAAATACGACAAAAAAGGAGATTTTTAGTAGTCTTAAAATATTTGAATACAAAGTGTGTTACATATGAGAATCAACGAAAGTGTACATGCATATGTCTTTGTATAAAACTGCTCTTCTAAATTATATAAACACTGTCCTAATTATTCTACGTTGTTTAAAAATAAACTAATACAAAAATGTAATGAACTATCTCTGGCTGCCTTGTGAATTTTAACCTATTATGACCTACTTTATTGACAAGGTATGACAGTAATTGAGATTCGGCTTAGTTAATATATTTACCTTGACTTAGAATCCCTGAATATCGATGTTTATTGTTATTTTGTCGCGGGACAATATTCCTTAAGTTATTAAAAGGATAAAAGTAATCCAGTTAGCTGGTCGACGACATACCACCTAGGGAGCTGATGACGGCGTAAAATAGTCAGGTTATGCTGTCATTTGCCGAGCAACCAGATTGCCCACTGCAGTACAGCTCATTTTGAATGCCCATTTCTGTCTAAAGTTTTATTGTATGTGTGTATCAAATATATCATTCTGAACTAAGTATGGTTTAATGTAAAGCTGTCGTTTCGTCAGCTAGTTTGATCACTTTAAGACCTGTTTTGTCACTGAAATTATCCAACAAAAATTGACACTCTTGATTCAAGCACCAAAAGTCAGGCACCTTGCAGAATAATTCTGTATATGGGTTCCCGGACAGAGTTATCTAGCATTCGAGAAATTTGAGATAACGTCAAAAACGTACAAAACGCACACTTCTTGTAAGGATTTCTTAACGCAATTTTAAGTTCTACTTTTTTATCAGTATAACAATTATATATAAATATTATGAATCGTGCTCCATTACGTATGTCATATGACAGTATTTACCCAATAATTGTAAATTTTACCCACTAATTGTGGATTATGGATTATGACACTTATTGTTATTTGTTGATATGGACAGGGTGGTATGAAGGCGGTCTTGTGGACGGACACTTTCCAGGTAACCATGATGTTTGCTGGACTCGTTGCCATTCTAATCAAAGGCAGCATAGAAAGTGGAGGCATTGGGGAGGCATGGCAACGGGCAGTGGACGGAGAGAGAGTTTTGTTTAACGAGTACGAACTAGTAATATATCGGTAGATGGTCTAAGAGTACGGTGCTCATTTATATATTTTAATATAGTAAGATATATGTCTATAGACATTTGACGAGAAAAGTACGTTTCTTTATGTTCTCTTCATAGCTTCGATCCAAATCCTACCAAACGTCACAGCGTGTGGTCTCTAGTGATTGGTGGAACATTTACATGGGTCGCCATATACGGCGTTAACCAGGCTATGGTGCAACGTTGCTGTACTTGCTCTTCACTGAAGCAAGCTCGGCTGTGAGTACGTTCATGTTAGACTATTTAGATCTTGTGATTTAGTCTGATCTTCGTAGCAATCTGGATTAAAAATTCAAGTGTCACAAAGCTAAAGCAGGCATCTCTAGAAATGACTTTGTTTGGGAATTATCGGGCTGAGTGACTGCAAGAGTACCAAAATGACGAAACGGGGTTTTTCAACCTTCCTAGTGAGACTTTCTGACACTGACAGGGGAACTACTAACAATGGGCCACGCAATAGTGTCCTTTTGTCAATTAACATGTACATATATTGTTAATAACAATAAACGTCTATATAGATTGATTTTCTTACATTTGGGGAGATATTATTAAGACATTTATATATAAATAACATGAATGACACTCATGATTAATGAATTATATCATTACGTTACTGGGAATGTTATATGAATTAGTATCATCCCATTACAGGGCTATATGGTTGAACTTCCCGGGACTCTGTCTGATCCTGTACCTGTCCTGTTTTATCGGTATGGTGATGTACGGGTTCTATAGAAACTGTGATCCCTTCAAATTTGGTCTCGTTCAGTCCTCAGACCAGGTAAGCTTCAAAGTCCATATTTACTCCTGAATTTTATAACCATGATATTGGTAAGTCTGTTGTGATCACGGTTTGACATGATAATATTTGATTGTTTTATTGTACCGTGTACACTGTTATTGTCATCAATGCTTTCAAAGTACATGTAAAATATAAAGACCACAGGGTTAAAAATTGACAGTTAATTCCCCCCTTACTGCCTCTACCATCATACTCGTTCCTGTTGAAGTTCTTGGAGATTTAAAATATTTCTGTATTTTTCACTTACTCTTGTCCATGCCTGAAAATTACCTCCAACATGTGTATGATCCGGTGTTTTTACTTGCTTTTCAAACACGCTGACAAAATATTTGTTTAAAAAGTATATAATGAACACGAGACTCTTCGACAATCTTTTTTCAGTTGCTTCCCTTGTTTGTGATGGATGTGCTTGGAACCGCACGTGGATTCCCGGGACTTTTTGTCGCCTGTCTCTTCAGCGGAGCTCTCAGGTAAACCTTATAATGGTCACATATCTCAGGTAAACCTTATAACTCAGGTAAACCTTACAATGGTCACATATCTCAGGTAAACCTTATAATGGTCACATATCTCAGGTAAACATTATACTGATCACATGTATCAAGTAAACCTTATAGTGGTCACATATCTCAGGTAAACCTTATGGTGGTCACATAACTCAGGTAAACCTTATAGTGGTCACATATCTCAGGTAAACCTTATACTGATTACATATCTCAGTTAAATTATATACAGATCACATATCCCTGGTAAACCAAATACTGGTAGCGTTATGTTGATCTCCTATCACATGTTAACATTGTACCGATCATATTTAGGTAACTGGAATATACATGGCAAATTTAATGGCTCAATGTGTGCCACCTCGTGGATGAGACAAGAAGACTAGTTGAACCTTTAATGAACATCATAAGAATTTAGCTATAGCGTAAAAGTAAAATCGACTCGCTTTGAAGTTGGGTTGAGCTCTTCTGTGATCTTCAAAGGTATTAACCTAAAGATTTGTCAGGGTTTTTTTCCTGATACAAATAAAATAGCTAGTCGCGCGCCTTCAATTTTGCTATGACATGTTCCAGGGATGCAGTGTAAGTGAGCGTACTCCTTGGGATATGGAGGATGGGTATTCTAAAACAATGCACTTTACGTTTCGGTACATTTTGTATGTTTTAGAACAGTATGTTGGCTGTTTCAATACATTTTTTGTATAATGTCAGTGTAATAGTACTGTATGTCGTTTCAGTACAATATGTGTGTTGTTTCAGTACAACTTATGAACTAAATTGAACTATTTCAGTACCATTTATGTGTCGAACAAGTTTTGTTTCCATAGAATACTTTTGACGGTTATGTACAATGTATGGGAATTTCAGTTCATTATGTGTCTTTTCAGTACAATATCATCCGGGCTAAACTCCCTGTCTGCAGTGGTATTACAAGATATCATTAAGTCCTACTTTTTGCCAGACATCTCCGAGCAGCGTGCGACACTAGTTTCAAAAATCTTAGGTATTTATTTTTATTATTGTTCTTACATTTACTTGTATTTTCGTTCGTTCTTTTCCCATGTTGGACCTTATACTGTAACACTTTTATATTTTTGTCCTTCACATAGTTTCACCATCTGATCCTTATAACCTATAAGTTCGACCAGAGTTGAATAAGCCCTTGTATATCAACTACATGTAGTACTGTGAATTATATACTAGTATATGATAAATTTTGCACAACACAACGAGCAAGATTTTGGCGTGCATAATTCTCTAGATAGAATTGTGCAGCGGACGCAAACCTGGTTCTTAATAGAACGGGGATGAATGACATGACAACCAAAGGGAACCGTAAAACTTCCACCCTTCGCCCGTTATAACATGTCATCTTCATTAAACAAAAACGTAATAGCTAGAAATGTTAACTCCATTCCATTTGCTAACGATGCTTTTTCGACCTTCTAGCGTAACTACCGCGGGATTCTTCCTCACATGGTGAAATAATAATCCAGGACTGAGTCGTGGTAATTATTGCCGCCATGAACTGTTACCCAAACACCATAAAATCGTCCGGATCTCACCTGTAATGATCCTGTTTTGATGACTGTGTCTTAAAAAAATAATTAACGGTTCTGAAACAAACGAATGGTGTTATTACTGTTTACCACTTAACGTAGCTACGATACTGTGTAATTTGTGTTACCAGCCTTGGTGTTCGGTGTGATCTGCTTAGGACTGACCTATGTGGCATCTTTACTGGGAGGAGTTTTACAGGTACAAGTACTCTTAATGTCCACGATAACGTAAACATTTCTACGTATCACTGTTTTAAGAACAATAGCATAAGTCTACTGTAGGGAAATTGTCTTCCATCCAGTCCAGAGCTCGGTCGACGCCAAGCCCTGAACTTTTGCATTCAAGTTTTGAATACACTCGATATGAAAAGTTGTCTTCTGATGTTGTGAAATGGCTAAAACGTTTTATTCTGATTGATTCACAAACAAAGTCATCAAACGCTTTGTATCTATTTTAGTGTAGTAAAAATGTTTTGCATTTCTAACCGTAAATTGATCCGATTTACATAGCCTCAATCAATTATAAACTTATTTGATTTCTATGATAACAATAAACTACAAACAGTTGTTCCATCATGTTTGTATCCTTGAAATATCCAGGCATGTAAAAGAAGAATATGAGAACTCCAATTTGGTATCGATTTCATATTTGCCACCCAGAACTCATTGAAATTGAATTTATAGAATCCCATTCGTGTTACCTGCTGACCCATGCTTTGTACCACAGGCTGCCCTGTCGCTGTTCGGCATGATTGGAGGACCGCTACTGGGACTATTCATCCTCGGAATGATGTTCCCCTGGGCCAACAAATGGGTAAGAATATGTCATTAAGCAGCGTCATAATTTACACGAAACGTACAACACATAACAAATATGACGCTTAACGTTCTTTCTCTAATGTTTTGTTCTTAGGGAGCGTACGCCGGTCTACTGTTTGGACTCGTTTTCATGTTCTGGATAGGTGTAGGGGCGCAGATATATCCTCCGGTCATACCTACGTCTCCTATATCCACCATAGATTGTAACTGGAATCTCACCATAGCGCCAAACATAACCGCCGCATCGTCCATTCTTAATTCTACAACGAATGCGCCAACACAAGAGGACAGGTAGGCATTAAATATATTCCTTTTATGCGACAGGAAGACGTAAATTTAACTTATTTGAGTATTTAGAAACATAAGAGAATACCAAAGTATCAAAAACAAACACCCTTCAAATTCTCAATCGATCAATCTACAGCAAAATATGAATAATGAATCTATTTACACTGGGACCCATGCCACCATAGAAGGAGAATTAGACCAGGTGTTCCGGAATATTAAGCATCTTCTATTTTATCGACCGCAATGACCAAGTTAATATGTATTATACAGCATGCTCGTGGTTTTATGTTTAATTGACGCATTTGGTTCATTATTACAACTTTTATTACTTGTACAGGGAGAAGATGTGAGAGAAAAAAATACTAGTCTATTTTGTGTTATACAGACAGAATAATAGTACTTCTTGGGATAAGGTTTCTGAAGTTCGGCCTTGTTTTGCAACTCAAAAGCATACACTTGTATTAAGATTTATCTGTATACATCAAACGTAAATGATAGATTGTCTTAATGATCTATTTATCTAACATGTAGCTACCCTTTTATACATGACAGAGGTTGGCGTCCTATTATATAGAAAGATAGATAGATAAACAGACAGATAGAAAGATGCCCATGTATATAGGACAGGTTGGCGTCTCTTTAATATGTTCTAAGCTTACTTTTAGCTATTCGGTTTATCTTCCACCCCAAACTCATACTTATGAATCATTTGTACTTTTTGTTACAGCAATCCTCTCCACAAACTGTACACGTTATCTTACATGTGGTACAGCGCTACGGCCGTGCTTGCCACCTGTGTAGTGGGACTAATCGTCAGTGGAATTACAGGTAACTTATATAACGGGGTAATTATCAATGTAATCACAGGTAAATTGCACATGTGTAATTGGTCTGCTTCTTAGATAAAACGTGTGTGAGTAAAATATATTTTGAAATAAGTAGTATAGTTACTTGTACATTTGTCGTAACGATTTTGATAATTAGTCGTTATAGAGATAACATCATCCTAACATGACTAAAACTAGCTACATGTTTCTCTCAAAAGTACCCCATCCCGACATGACCGAAACTAGGCGTGTAACTCCATCAAACTGTCCCGTCCGGTATATGGTATGCTATGGTTGTAAACTATTTGATAGTCAATAACAAATCAAAGCATAAGAAGACATTCACTTATTATAGGATTATATAAACCCAATGTTTGTAGGATTCAATGATCCAGTGGAAGCTGACGCCCGTCTGATCTGTCCATTGTTTGACATTCTGTTCCCGTATCTACCCGATGTGATCCGCAAACCTATGCGCTTCGGCGTGGACTACAGCACTCTTGAGGTAGCACTTTTACTTGTTTGGTAAATTTTAACGTCTCTCACTTTACCTCCTTAAAATGACAAATACAGACATATGTTGGCGGTCAAATGGTTAAATGTACTACATACTACATACGTGAAGGAAATGTTTATATATTATGGATGCAAATTGGTCAAATGTGTGGTTAGGTGGACGAGATAAAATGCTGGACAAAACTTCACTTTAGGAAACATCATGGATTGTGCGGGTATTTTAATTGAGAATAATAAACGAAAGCCAATTACGCCTGACTTAGTAAATATTTCCAACATTTTTGCACCATCGTTATATATTCTACCATTATATAGAAACATGTGTTGATTATATCTATTCTACCACGTTTCTTACTCAGTGCCCATATACGTGTACACCTATGTTTTTTAAGGTGACCCAGATAATTTATCTATTTATAAATCAAGATGCTCATTTGCGAGTGCAAACATCTGTCACGGTTCTTCGTTTTACAATAAGCTGCATGTTTAATCATTACTGGTGCTGTTGGCAGTTGTCCAATTTTGCCCGTTCAAACATGATATATTTGTAAAAAAATCGTAGAAGTTGATAATTTGATGGATTATCGTAAACATACTAGAAATAAAAAGAACCAACGAAAACGTTGTGCATAGCTGATGAAAGTTAACATTAACGCACAACCTGCCTTAATGAAACAGGTTCGTTTTGAGTCTGAAAACCCCAAAATCTTCATATTTAGGTGACATTTGAAAGTATACATTTATAACAATCAATCTCTCGACATCGCTTATCAACACATAGATTGTACACTTGACACATATCTACAAATGATACTGCAAGTCACCTTTTTGACAGGCTTTAGTAGAATTAGAGGCTAAACAGCGAACCTCCAAGTATAAGGAAAGGATTGTACCCTTCCTCCACAAAACTAAGTCAGTCCTTGTCTCGCTTGCTTTCATTTGCAATATGGGGAGGTATTTGGAAGGATGTTGCACGTACCTAATTGTTCAAAATTAATACACGCATGAGCATGCACTAGCGTCCAGGATTTCATGATTTTTAATAAGAGAAATGCGTCGTCATATCACAGACGTAGTACAGTAAAGAAATAGCAACACATGTGTGTAAATAAATTATGGGAGATAATATAACTGAAGTATGAATTCTGAAGTATACATTACTTGTCATAATACTTAAGTATATATCACTTTGTATCATACTAAAGTATGTATTATTTTGTATCATGCTGTAGCACGTGTAGCATACTCTAGTACGTATTAATTTGTGAAAACTGAAGAGTATACATGTATCACTTTGTATCATACTAAAGTATGTATTACTTTGTATCTTGTTGTAGCACGTATTAATTTGAATCATACTGTAGTACATGTACGTATTTATATGTATAATACTGAAGTGTGCATTACTTTGTATCATACTGGAGTATGTATTACTTTCAATCATAGTGAAGTATTTGTTACCTTGTTATTTGTATCATTACATACTACCGAATTATTTATTACTTTGCATCATTAAAAATCTGTATACCTTCTTATTACCCTGATTTATACATTGAACATCTCTTTGTTTCCTTCCCGAGATTTTTTTAATTATTATTTTGTATCGTTCCTTAATATGTATAACCTTGTAAGTTACCGAAATATGTATTGCTTGTATTCATTATTGTGTATTTTAGTCAAGTCTGTACAACATGTAATGATTTTGTATGAGTGTTGCCGTAAGCTTTGCATAATTTCAGGGGTTTATTTTCAGACATCATCGGGATCCAGTAATGAATCTGAAGACAAAATGACTGTATCGTCAGATGTCAAAATGAAGTATCAGAGGAGCTTTGATAAAATCAACGGGATAGAAATGGGCAAGTCTGCAAGTCAAGACAGTGGCATAGAACAGGAGGGAAGTGAAGTAGTTGATAACGATCCACCCTTGTACGACCAGAACACAGATTCGACGACATATACCACCAAACTTTGACCCACATGTATACACTTGTAGCAGTTTTTTATATATTTTTTTGCAAGAGAAGGTACCCCATTCATCTTCGAAATAACATTGAGCAATTTACCTTGGGATTGCCCGGTAATTTAAAAAAAACATCCTGTTACAACTTTTCATGTCTCGAAAGGAAATCGTCCGTCTTCCACCCACCATTTGTCACTGTAAGCACTTGATTTGTGGCAAATTCTGTCATGCGCATTTTGACTCCAAGGATGAGTGGTAGGCGGTACTCTGTAGCTATTTGTTCGGACCGAACAAAATTCATATATACTGTTTTTGTGTTATAATAACTTTTCCTACAGATGTGTGCACATTGTGTGAACGGTGTGTGCACGATGGGCGAACGACAAAAAGCTGGACGATCATTGATTGCGCACATATGTGCGCACGATGGACGAACGTTGTGCGATTACAATCGTGGTTGATGTTAATTGAGGAATGCCTTAACAATTTATACGGTTTCATGTTTAAACATATAAACCTGATTTTTACCTATGTTTCTATATTATAGCTACATCTATAAACTTATCTTTCTGTCTATGCATTCTTATATTTAGAAATTGTGTTTTAGGTGTTTTTAAACAAACTTAATCGACACATGTAAAATTACAACACAGTCCCGTATACAGGTAAACATAACCACTGTGTACATGTACCTGGACCGTATTTTCCCCCCGCCTGGGGCACTTACGTAACTCGTCGGGTAAGGCCGGGTGTGTGAAAATCAAGGTGAAGGGGAACTATAGGCAAACAAATGCAAATAACAAATACTATTCATAACGGTCATACGGTATCGCATATCAGCTCTGTGTGTCAGGCACTGGTTAGGTAACACTCCGGACACTCATCAAATTGTTATTTACCTGTTCTGTTACAGAAATGACAGATACATTATCGCATACAAGCCTTCCGTATTTTTGTCATTCCGTAATTTTGATCTACAAATGATACCAAATTGCACAGTTGTGCGAAGAGAAGCGCACAACAACGGGGCGAACGATTGTTAAATCGCACAGTTGTGCGCACCATGTGTGGACGATGTCCGGACGGTGTGTGAACGATTATGCACGGTGTGCGCACGCTATTTTTGGTGCGTTGTGCGGTCACACTACTGTATGAACAAAAGAAAAATTATATCACGAAAGCGCAAATAATGCGGGAATATAGACAAAAGCGTAATGATTTTTTTCCGTTATCAAAGAGCTTCGGAATGTTCAGAATTGTCTATACATGTCCTATAACAATGAAAGTAAATTCAAATTTAATGTTAATCACATGGCTCATTTAAGGGTAACAGCTATGTTTTGAAACCATTTTTCCAACATTGCAATGGTATTTGGAACAATCTGCGGAAGTTGTTAAACGTATTTTCCTTATATGCATACATAATGTACATGGAACATAAATTTGACATGAAGAAATATAGTAATATACAAAAATGCATTATTTGCTTTTAATTCACGTAAATATATTGATAATAGAGAATGCCTGGTAAAAAAAAGTCACAGTACAAGAATTATGAAAACAAATAGAAAAGAAAACCACAAAAACTTAAATGTCATGAAAGGAATATGATAAACTATATCTACGCAAATATAACCCGAAAAATGTCGAACGTTTAGAAAACGCAAAAGATCTTAATCTGATCTTGGTAATAATGAGTTATAGCGAGCATGCGCCTACTGTAGATAAAAACTATATCCGTTTTTTTTACATAAATATGACGAACATCTTGACCAAGCCATCACTTAAAGAGCGCGTGCATACATACATTGTACATACCGGTACATACATACTTGCATGCATGCACACATACATACATGTCTACATGCATACACCATGCATACATACTTACATACATACATACATACATACATGAGGCAAAATTCAGTATTGGTCCAGAAAATACGACTTACACATCAAATTTTCTCAGAATGTATTTTTTGTGTTATGTTAAGCATTTCGTGAAGGATATGACATCAACGTTTAAAAAAAATGGGTGGAGAACATACTTTCTATCGTTTACCAGCATTTCATACTCAAAATTGCAATTTTCACACTGTTGCGTTGGCAATCTAATTAAAATTATATCATCACATCGCTCCCGTTTACCGATATGTCGCGACATAGTGTATCAGTAAACGGGCGCGTTGTGAATATATAGTTTTAGTTAGGTTGTTGCGTTGGTAACATGGTGTCCTTTATATGCTGAGATAGCATTTCTTTGTCAGGTAATTTGTCCAGTAATTAAGTTAATATTCTAGTAAAACCAATAATAAAGTTTTATATAGATATATAATCTCCGGAAACAAGTGTGATCAGACGGACACGGTGATTACTGTAAGGAACTTGCATTTTCTATTTGAAACAAGAATAATGAAACAATGCTTCAAGTTTTATCAAATTTATTATCCATTCTTCTTTAGGATGATCCTGATTGACCTAAAAAGTCTGAAAGTAGAAAGAAATTCATGGATGTCAATATCTCTTTTGGCAACTTTGCAAACAATTTGGAAATAAATTCCCAGTGTTCCTGAATTTTAAACATATTATATATGCATGTTATGTTAAGCATTATCGTGTTATGTTGAGCATTATAACATATCTTCATACTCCTGTTTGAAAAACCAACAACTCATTTACTTAAGATCCTACTGTTGGATGGTATTTTCCAATAATTGACATATTTTAATTACATGAATTTGTATATTTTGACTCTGGCAAATTTTGGTTATGCAATTTGAAGGAATCGGCTGTAGCTTTAAATTCATAGAAGAGTCGGCGCCCTTTTGACTAAATGTTTGGTGGACTCAATGTTGCCGCAACATCTTCAGGAACAATGGTGTAGGGAATATCCTGTAGACACCAGGAATCTGACTTGCCGACAAAATATTTTATCCATGGCCAACTGACAACCTGAAAGATAAAATAAAAACATGTGAATTTGTAATAAAGTTTGACATTAATATATGTGGCTACTTGACCTTCAAAAACTGACAAGGGCATTATGTATTACATATCTAATAAGATAATAGCAAAACAAAACATAAAAAAAAATCATATTATATATATACATGTAGAATACTCGGACTGACTGACAGACAGGCGAACATAAATCAATTAGCCTGCACTGCTTTGCAGTGGATGTTGCTTTTGACCACAAGGGTATAGTAAAGTAAATGTTAATCAAAGTCTGTTCCATGAGTGTCGAAAAAAACTGTCACCTAGTAACAGTTATCTAATTAGGCAATATAAAAGAAAGCTTGTGCATCCGCTAACCCTATCTACCCTATATTTTTGTGCCTATCGTAGTTTTTATTGGCATTTTTATGATGTGCACTGTTCAAGTCCTAACTCCTGCGCTATATAAGCCTAGTGAAAGTATTTCCCTAGTCAAAACAATGCCTACCTACCTACCCACTCCATTTTTTAAGGATGATAGTGGAAACACAAGTGATTATTTTGGCCTGAGGAACTGAATGATTCAACAAACAAAAACAAAGGGAGAAAAGTGTTAAGATAACAATTTGAACTGTATAACTTACCACAGCAGGATACATTTTGGTTCCATGATGGACCTTAATATAGCTTTCATCTGGAAAACTGAATGTTCATTTTCATTTTAAAGAAAATAGAACAATAGCGACATTAATACAAGGACTATGAAAGAATAGATGGGAGAGGGAATGATGAGGGGAATGGAGAATCGCAGGACGGAGAGACACGGGACGGAGAGACACAGGATGGAGAGGGACATTATGGAGGGACACAGAATGGAGAGGGACTGGATGGAGAGACAAGGGACGTAGAGACACGGGATGGAGAGACACAGGACGGAGAGGGACAGGATGGAGTGACACAGGATGGAGAGGGACAGGATGGAGTGACACAGGACGGAGAGGGATTTTTCCCATAAACAAATTTCTATTATGTTTGTCCTTTGCAAAGGAGTCAAGAAATAAACCTTACCTTTGTCTTCTAGCAACAGATACATGTATGGTCTCCTGAATAGGTGTAGGGTCCTGATAGAGGTATGTTGAATTACCTATTCTTCATTGATCTCTCTAAATTGATAACCTAGCCCTAGATTATATCCATCATGTATTTTACCAGTAATGGTGTCCTTGGTCCCAGGGACCTGCATAACATTCTCCTGCGTGCCAGGGTCCTGGAGGATAGTCTCATTGGAGGTTGAGTCCTGGATAATGTTCTTCTGACGGCAAAGGGTGAGGAGAAAAGACGGACCGATGCCAACCTCGTTGGTTGTGTTACCTGTAAAACAACAGAAAATCACCATTAATAGCAGCTTATAAAATACCTACTGGGAGGTACATTTGATAACACAAATCTTCAATTACCCATATCTGTCCTTACAGTATTATCTTACCATTAATGGTCTCCTGTAGGCCATGGTCCTGGGAAGCGTGTCCTGGAGGTTGGCCTCTTGTAGGCCATGGTCCTGGGTGGCGGTGTCCTGGAGGACGGTCTCCTTCTAGACAGGTTTCCTGGAGGATGGTATCCTGAAGGCCAGGGTTTTGGAAGGCAGTGTCATTGAGGATAGTCTCATTGAAAAGTCAAGGGAAAGTCCTGGATAATTTTCCCCTGGGGGAAAAGGGTGTGGATAATAGTCTTCTGTGAGACAGGGTCTTGTGGACCAGGGTCCTGGAGGATAGTCTCATTGGAGATGGAGTGCTGGATAAGTTTCTCCTGGGGGCAAAGGGTGTGGAGAAAAGACTGGCCGATGTCATCCTCGTTGGTTGTGTTACCTGTAAAACAACAGAAAGTTACCATTAATAGCAGCTAATAAAATACCTACTGACACAAATTTTCAGTTACCTATATCTATCCTTACAGTACTATCTTACCATTCATGGTATCCTGTAGGTCATGGTCCTGGGGCGGGATCCTGGAGGTTGGCCTCCTGTAGGCCATGGCCCTGGGAAGCGGGGTCTTGGAGGAAGGTCTCCTGTAAGGCCATGGTCCTGAATGAATGGTGTCCATGGAAATGTTGTAAAGGTCAGATGTCATACAGACCGATGTACATGTGTCATAATCCTTGCAAACAGAAACAAAAACGTTTAGTTATTCCATTATCACATTAGTACCAAAACAGGTTTTCTGATCAATTAAAAGGTGTCTTTTTCATGTGACCTTCAGGTTCATGTATTAGCCGAACATTTATGCATCCGACGATCTGCTGTTAGAAATGCCTTTTTGTCAGTCTCTATCCTTATAATTTTACTTTTCAAAAAGAACTTTTTTTCAGAAGTACTATAGTGGTCTTCCTCAATTTCATAGGAATGTTCCTCTTATTAACTTACCTGTTAAGGCAGGCTTTGAATGATACTGGCGATTTCAGAAATGTTTAGGGAACTGTCTCCTTCCCCTTTCTCATAGGTGACTGTCCCAACTTCTACGGTAACACCATGTGCATCATTTGTTTCTGTTTGTTCATGCTCTGATTGGTCACTCTCGGACAAATATGAGGTCTGTATCCTACTTCTATCCCGGACTCTTCCTCTTCCTCTTTCA